TTAACTTTTTTTCTATTTCAATATTTCAGGAAATTGATTTTTTTCAATTGTATTATATTCAATTTTACCAAGAATACATTTTCATAAATAATTTTAAAATCAAACTAAACAATTTTGACTTTTCATCAAGTAATCTGCTGCAAATTCTTTTTAATCTATTTTATTAATATTCTCTTGATTATGAAATTAAAATAACAAATAATAAAAAGATATTTCAAGAAATCTTTAATTATTTCAAAAAAATATGAAAAATCAATTTTTTTTCAATCATTTAGAAAATTAATAAAATGATATATAAGAAAACAATTCTTATCTATTTCAGCTCCAAGTCAAATCCAAGAATCAACAATACTATAAATTGAAACAATTCAATATTATATTTCTTAAAAAATTCTTTAATCAACAATTTTTAACTAAGTAGCAGTATCAGATAGTACAAAAAGATTCTTAATATCACTAAAACATATATAATAATCAAAAGTTCATCAATATTAAAAACAGTTGACTTTATCTATAATTCTTATGGTATTAAAATTATTAATAAATTTAATAAAACTTTGAAGAATATACAAAATAATAAATTTAATAATTTAATTATCTTTCATATTAAGTTTTTGTTAGAAACTTTCTTTATACAAAAAAATTTCTATCAGCAGTATTCAGACTATACATGTGTTTGTATTTAATTTGGACATTTTCTAAAAATCATATTATGTTTGTATTATTAAATAACAATTAGTAAATAATTGAAAATTATATTTAATTCAGAATCATATTGTCAATCAAATTTCCTTTTATAGTAATAAGGAAACATGTATAATTCAGACCAATATTTAAATTCTTATTATCTATGATATGAACTTTATACTAAAAATATATAACACATATGCAAATGTTCAATAGCATCAAAAGAAATTAATCAAATTAGTAAACAAATTAATTTTATTTTCATCTCAATTATAATTCAAAACTAATAATTCATATATAATAGATTATAAAGTTAGTATATGATATTACTAATAATATCATCTTTTTATCAGACTTCAATAATTAGATTCAAGTATTAATTGAAGTCTTAGTACAACTATATAATATTATATGGAAACTATAAGATACCACAGGCAATATTTTTCTACAAAATAGTATAAAATAGGAAAAAAAGTCACTATTAGTACAATTAAGAATAATCTAATAACTTTTAGACCAAACTTATAAAAATCTTTTTTAATATAAGAACCATTAACAATAATTAACCTACTTATTTTAATTGCAGAAGCTTATATTCAAAATAACTTTAATTTTTATAAATGTATTATTAAACTAATTCAAAGCTATATTAATTTTATCTTTCCTAATATTGAGTAGATATACTGTATATAGCTGCTTAATATCTTTTAACAAAATATATTGTTTTAAATTTTATTTTCAATATTAATCATTTGATTTTTGTAAACAAGTTAATATTAAACTCATTGTATTCACTTATAAGAAATGTTATTTCTTTTACAATATATACTTTTAATATACAAATCAAATAAAAAAAATAATATTTATCTATTAAAAAAATAAAATAAAGTAATAATGTTTATCTACTTAAAAAAAATTTTTTTTTTATTATAAGTTGATATTATTTTGATACTATTTTCAAAATCCTATAATAAAATTAATAAAAAAAGTTTTTATTTGAAATCTTTGATTTTATTTAATAAATAAATAGTAATTTATGTACAATTTGTTTATCAAGTAAGTTTATATATACAATTATTTTAATGGTTCAAATATTTAATTAAAATAAATATATTACTTTCTTAAATCCATTATCGTTATATCAAAATTGAGTAAACAAAAAACTGTATTTATATAATTTAACCTAATTGATTTTCTTTTTAACAATTCTGTTTTCTGTTGCACGACTTCAAAAATTTACGTTTATCTTGGAGGCCAAACGTTTGTTTAAATTTCATTTCATATATTCTCTTATGATGGAATTTCTGAACCTGGAAAAACAACTCATACTTTACGGACAATACCATAATAATAAAATAAACGTTATTATTCATATCGGTAACAAGGCAACTTTCGAGCTACTTTTATATTGTGTATTGTGTTTACTTTTGACCAATCTTAACAAACTTTTACTCTTAAGTTTGCGTTCCTCTCATTCTATGGAGCCTTTTAGCTCTATTAGCAAATTCGGGACCTTTATTACCCTATGGGTCAGATTCGTGGTGGCACATAATTCCTTTTGTCCCAAATCTTTCATTACTCATTACGCTGATATACATTACATATTATATTCTATTGGAACCGTTTGCTGGGGTAAGGAAGTTATCATTATTTTTATTTTCAACAATTGTTTATAATAGGCCTAATTTAAATATTAATTAATCGTTAGGCTTTATATTCCGTAATACTCTTATACATGGTATATCATGCAACTAACTTCAATGCTTCATATCCAAATCACAATACACTTGCTTTCATTGTTCATATCACTTCATGGATTGCACAATTTATTGGTCATGGGTTTGCCGAAAAAAGAAGCCCAGCCTTAAAGGATAATTTTACACAAGGTCAGTATATTCGCTTTCTTTTTTAAACGTAATCACGAAATTTTTATTTTGTTCTCAATTTGCAATATTATCTAGCAATCCTTCTTGCTCCCTTATTTGTCTGGCTGGAAGTCCTTTTCTCAATAGGATATCGATCAGAACTTCAGAAAAGAGTAGGCTCAGGAGTTGATCTTGCTATCGCTAAATTCAAAAAAGAAAAATCAAAAGGATCAAAAAGCTAATTCGATATCTTACTTGAATTGCTCTTAACGAGAATTGAATCACGGGTGTTTTTCAATGTCATTTGATTAGACGTTTTATTGAATCTTGATCATTTTATTCATTATTTACGATATAAAGTGATGTAAAGAGTCTTTTACAAAGAGGATATAAATATGGTTTACGTATATATTGACAGAATGTTACAATTTTTCTATTCTTGAACACAAAAAAATTATTAAATTTATATAATCAAAAAGTAAGAATAATTAATCTGATTATTATGTAATTTAATTGAAATGTATATATTTTTTAAACGCTATAAACTTAAAATCAAATAATAAACTTTATATATATATATATTTATAACTTTAATTTTAAGTTTATAATAATAAAATATTTTTTTTTATTTTATTTTAAACAACAGCTGGGACTTGCTTTATTAATGATTTGATACTATATTTGTGTATTTTATAGAGTTACTATATGTTAAAAGAAGCAATATCTAAGTTTTGCTTATATATTGATTTGTTATTGTCAGTTTATTCGAAGAAAAAAGCTTGAACTAACATGCCAAGGTGTCAATAGCTTGTTCTAAAAACTTTTAATATAATAATATTATTTTATTTTAAGTAAAGAAAAAAAAAATAAAAAAAGAGAAATCAAGAAAATAATATTGGTTAATAAATAAAACTATATTAAAATTATGTTTGAGTTTATTAAAATAATAATAATAATTATTTGCTATTGCTAATTATTAAGAATATTTAAGATAAACTTATTATAAGACTTATTGTTTTAAGTAATTTTATATTTTTATTATTACAAGTATTTAAATTTTTTTTTTTTTTTTTTAAGTAGGTAAACATTATCTCTTTATTTATCATAAAAATTTTAAATTATTTTACATGTAGAAAGTGACAACATCTCTTACATGACCAATTAATCAGTAATTCTAATGCTGGCTTGCCTACAAAAACTATCTAAGCAACATAAAAAATAAATATTAAAATCGATGTATATCCTAAATAGTGTCGAGCAGCTATGAATACCTACTCAGGTTTGTATGTAAGACTATAAAAAATTGAAAATTGAAAAAAAAAGAAAATACTAAACAAAAAAAATAAGTACAGCAATACTAATTGTAAAGCTATAGATGCTTTGAATAAAATCACTAAGCATGCCACGCTGGTAGTTCCATTTAACTGAAGTACTGTTGCACTTCCAGAAATGGTTAGGCTATTGTCAAAAGTGTACAATAGTGTTGATGGTATATTTTTTTGATAGATGATTGGTCATGGTAGTAATATTATTGTTGTAGTGATATGATTTGTGATTGGTTTGTTTGTTGATAATATGATTTTGTTTTGGTTGTTGTCATTAT